AGCTATTACGAGGGCAAGACCGTCATGGACTGGTTAAAAAGTGTACAAGCCTCCAGGATATTCCCCACAAGTGATGACAGTATTGAGAACTATGATAACACAAAACTGCTAGCCATTTTAACAGAAGAAATAAAACCACAGCCAATTGTACCACAAGACGTGGTGGATCTGTTTGATACACTCCAAGCCAACCCACAATTCGTGAGCTTCGCAGAGGATGTACAACGAACCATGGTGTTGGATTCCATGTACAAGCCTTTAGTGTTTGGGCAATGGATAGAAAAGGGGTACTCCCCAGAAAAGATTCTCGACATTTTTTTTGCGCACAAGTCTGTGGATGTTAAAGTCACGAATCCACTGTTTTTGGCGTGGCTTGAATACTTCACGTGGTACTGGAAACTTGTTAAAAGTAAAAGCCCATTGCGCTACGCTGAATTTCTGAAGGCACTACGCAAATACTTGTCGGAAGAGAATCTGGATAAAATGATTTCATCACTACAGTTTAAGGAGGCTTTTTTAAAAGAGCAGGTTGAGGGCGTGCGGGACGACTTCGAAAGCATACTATGGACATGGCGTACGGATTATTTTTACGCAAAAAAATTCGCCCAGATCAAGTGATGTTAATGATAAATGATTATTTGCAAGATGCAGAGAATCCAGACAGTCCTGCGCTATTGTGGGTACTCAATTACGTCTTTCAGTACAGGAAACAGTCTACATTTTCCAACATCATGCTGTTTAAATTGTTGATGTTCAAACTCTCGTTTAAATCGCTGATGAAGTTGTTAAGATCTCAAAGTGAATACCCGCAGCTAAAAATACTAGCAGACGATATGCTGCAGTTTTCTTCCACAACAATGCTTACGACTTTGGCGGAATATGAAGTCAACCCTGAGGAATACTTTGAACACCTTTTCAGTTTATACGGTACGGCTGCTACGTCTTCTGAGCCAGAAACCATGGAAACTTCACAGCAAAATAAAAGCTTTGACATTGCTTTACAGTACCTCAAATATGCTCTGGTGTTTGATGTACAAATAAAAAAGATGACATATGAAAACAGCATCAGCGATTCATTTATCTTTTTAGATGATAAAATGCATGATATGTTGAGTCAGCATTCGAAAGAGTTACAAGACAATGTGGAGAAATTCATGCAAGATTTGGGATTTGTGGAGACTGGATAAGGGGTGCTACTTGTGTTAAATGTGCAAGAAAAGCGTCGGAGGGTTGGTCATTTGGATGATGGCAACATGTGGGTTTAAAGAAAAGTGTTGTATGCTTTCTGCTGCCAAATTTCCGCTTAAGAAAAAGTGTAGAGCTTATATCATTTTGTCTTGTTCGTTAATTCGTTTATGACCCTGCTTGAAAAAATCATGGACGCTTTTTTCAATGCCATCACTCCAGCGTCAAAGCCAACCAGCCAGCTTAAGAAAAATAAACTTCGCCACTTCAGTATTTCATACGTTTAAAGGAGGTAAAATCTGAACCAATGAATTGGTCAAAGCAATGGGTAAGGTGTCGTGAGTTTAGTAAACTTCACTCGTTATGTTTTATGCATCAAATTGATCGAGTATCGATTAAAGATGCTGAGAGCTGGGGAAAGATGTGATGCGACAATCTAAACATGGGAAGTGTAGGATGATGTCTCAGCTCATCTTGCGTGTATTGTGGCTGCTAATGTTGTGCTAGCATTTGGAAGCAAGTTGCTGACTGAATCTCTGTTACTAATTTGAAAACGAATTGATGAGTATTGATAACGTTTTCATGAGTTGAGAATACAGATTTTTGCCATTACATCTCAGCCACCTATAAACCAAACGGTGGTTAGTCCAACGACCCATACGGCAAGACCAAAGCACAAATCTCCATTTTGACCAAGAGAAGTCCTCCTGAGGAAAGCTAACTGCTTTCACTGAAAGTCCAACACGCTTATGACGAGAGGCTGTCAAGGCTGAGAACGAGGTCACGGGTGCATGGCTGGTAAACTCCGCCAAAGCACTCGACGTTATAGCTTGAGGATTTGAAGTTTAGCGCCAGACAACAATACGTTTTGTGACCTGGGCTATTGTAAAGCTGCAATTTGCGGCAAGCGTAAATCGCGTGGATGCGATACACCAGACAACCAAACAACTTTGCATACCGTGCTATAGTGACGCGATCTCTTCATAAATTCTCGATGGTTGAACGGGATGAAAAGACGACGCAGCGGCAAAGCTTATAGCACCTAGACAGCTTTGGCGAGCTAATTGTGGGTTCTGCAGACCCTTATAATTGGTCGAGGCTAGCCAGCTTATGATTCTACTGAGCAGTCTACCAAAAGAATGCGAATTTTATGAGTCGATAATCGATAACGCGATGGATGTGTCGCGGATCGAGATAAAGTAAATCACCTTACAAGTGCGAGTGGCTCGAAGGAAATTACGGTGCGCGTTGAAGGTGAACATCGGGTAGTTAAAGTGGTCGAAACAGTAAAACGAACAACGGTGTGCACGAAAATCTCGGTGGTTTCCTGGGCAAATGATTTAAATGTAACAAATTTGGGCACATGTAGCAACATTGATCGTCCCAGGTCAAACAAAATCAAACTGAAGGTGGACGTGACCGGATAAGAGCTGGAACAAAAAGCGCGAAGGCCGAACGGTTAAGTGGCTAATCAAGTGGTGTATGTTTCCATTTTGGACTGATGGAAGATGTCGATAAGGAGGCTAAGGACCGCGGCATGAATGAGGACGTTTGAGGTAAATTGTGTATTTCTTGGAGCAAAGTAAGCGCAGTAGCGTTTGAGAAAGATGTCGAAAAGGTCTATTTGCTACGGTGTTGACAGGAAGAAACACGGTTCGTGCAATATACCGGAGCTGACAATCCATGAAAGCTTTGTCACGCCCTCCGTGAGAACGGAATGGACAAGATGCAAAGTGTTACGACCACAATGCCAACAATGATTGGTGGTAACAGGAAGTTGAAGCGAACAGTAGCTTCATTTTACTCCTGATCTCGAGCGAAGACATCGCTCGTTTTGAAAATGATTCACACGGTCGAGATAAAACTAAGGATGGCACATTTTGAGAGTGATAAAAGCCACCTTCGCTCTAATCTTTGTTGACAACTACCCAAGGTATCACTGTAGCAAGTAGCGAGCAACTGTATAAATTTTCAGGGCTTTCTACGAGAATCAGTGAGTTGAACGGCAAAATGACTGCGTTACGACAATGAAATGAAATTTGTGAACAAGATTATTGTAGACACTTGTCGGAAGAAAGGAATCTTTCATTTGCGATTTCACTTTGCTCAGACCTCAGTAATTTAACGTTGCAGAGCTAATTAATCGGATTGACATGAAGGAGGCAGGACTGGCGGAGTGTAAGGACTGTGAATTTACTTGATCAATCGGTCCACAAACACCGAGCATATCTTTACCACGCCGTATGAGGTGGCCCGGGTTGAGATCCACGCAGAACTGTCTTGGTGTATCTGGATCTTGTACGATTTCTTGCATCGAAAACGTGGTGCATGTTGTTTCTAGGTTATATCAATAATGTAAAGCGGTATCGCGCAAATGACCTACAGACGTTGAGGTAGACGATGTTGAACCGGTTTAGAATTCGATATTACCATTGCTACCACCATCGGAGGGGTCTGGATCAAAATGAGTTTAAGTTATTAGCGATCGGTCGCCTTCCAAAGAGTTTAATGAAAATCGGACTACAAGGCACGAATGAAAACTGATGCACTTGTTGAGATCGGATAGAAAATCTGACAACGGAAATGATGGACCACCATTTTTGAAACGCGCTCGGATTTATAAAGACGGATTCATAGTACGGGCAGTGCTGGTAAACGCAGCTAGTATTGTAGATTTGCCGACTTTGTGGACCTGCCGTTAGCATGCAATGTGAAGCGAAAATGAGGGGGGCTCTACTGGCAAAGTTGGAAATGCTTGTCAAGAATAGAGCGTGGACTTAAGTGTGACATAGACCAGGTATGCGGTCTATTGGTAGTCGTGTGTACTATAAGGATGGAATCAAGAATAGACGTGTATTTCGGTTCAAGGTACGGAAAGTATCAAATAGCATATGGAATATACTTTTTCGAAATACACCCAATAGCTGCAAAACTCAACTCAATAGCAGCCATAGTGGATGTAGGCGTTGTCGATCATTTATTTTTGTAGTAGATGGTGTGGATACGGCATTCCCGAACTGTGCGATGGCGAACTGTAAGTTCTTTTCGGATTGACGGATGTAGAAGAGTGTATGAGCTCCCTCATTAAACTATGTCCGGGTTGAAAAAACTAGCATAAGAATATCCTCTGCTTGTTAATGTAGAACAGAATTAATAGCTGCAGTGCCCATCATTGCGTTTACGTTGGAGCGGACATGTGTTTGCATGCCTCTACGTGCCTGACACGGTTATCATGTAGGTTGACCAGCTCTTCGTCTCAAAAGAACTTAAAGAAATGGCTTTGACTTACCTAGTACTTGCACATGCACATGTAAAGGGCAAACAATGCCGACATGCGCGACTAATCACCATTCTAAAAAGATCTTAGTTGGCGCTGGGGTACGACACACTTATAAAATGCTGGGATGCAGTTTTACTTCTAGGTGACCACCTAGGTATCATTTCCTTCAACCAGTGTACTGTAATGGAGCC